TTTTTTGCTTGGATGACTTTTTGATCATAGGCCTTTTTCCGTCTAATATACTCATTTTTGTGGTTGTTTTGGTTTGTAGTGAGGTATCTGTTTTTTGCTTCTATGGTGTCTTTTCTATGTTGTTGTATGGGTTCGGTCATGGCGTATGCTTGCTTTTTTTTTGGATGATATTATTTTTGTTTTGTAGGGGCATGCCACATCCAAGTAGTATGTCAGAATGCCTTTAAAGTTGTTATATTTTCCGTTTACCGTTCTTTCCTCAAAAACTGAAGACCAGTTTTCTTTTTCTAGCAGGGTTTTGATGAGTTGCATGTTTGCCTCGGAAAAGTTCCTCAGCATTATTTTTTATGCTTAAGGGCTTGATATTTATGAATCGACGCGTCAATCTTTAAAAGTGCATTTTCAATTTGAGACTTTAAATCTCTCTTCTCAATAGTTAAGTCAGTAAGGCTTCTAAAATCCGCTATACTTTCTTTGTCATTAACTAATTTTCCATTTTGATACATTGAATATTTTATAAATTTGATTCTCCTTACTAAAGTCCATTTTAATCGGCAGAGGACAAGACTTAAGAGTATTTTCAAGGTCAGCTCTAACTGATTCACCAACAAATTTTATCATTGTGCATGGACATTTGTTGCAAGAATTGACTATATTCTAAAATGTCCAACAACATTTGTTTTACAGAAATCACAAGTCTTATGACTTTGTAATATATGCAATTTTGGAGCCATGTTGCTATCACATATTAATTCACAAACCTTGCACAGTTTCACCTACATTTGATGTACTAACTTATAGTGGCGAATCAGGTTGCTTTTATTGGAAAAAGAAGCAGAGCACTGTTGACATGTGGTCTTTATTTTTATATGTAACTAAAAAATATTTGTGTCACCTCTATATATAGACTTTTTGGAAATCACTTCAACAAGAGGTTCAATCAAGAGCTACCCCTAGAGACAAGAGGAAAGCCTAAGGGAGTGCCATTTCACCAAATCACCACTGAGAGCAAGAAGCGAGAAGCATGGGCCGGGAGCTTGCCCGCTGCCGTGCACGTGCCCGAGTTTGCGTACAAACCGCGCTCGATTTTGAGAATATACATGTGAATGGATGTGGAATTTAAATGTTAATGGAGTTGTACAATGGTATTGAACATTTGTATGAGCTTGTATAGACCAAGAGTAGGGTCTTTAAAAAAGTGGCAAAAAATAATCCTCATATTCCAGACATGATTTTCAGTATTAAAAAAGTAGAAAATTTATATAGGGGTGTATAGGCGAGAGCAGGGTCTTTAAAAAAGTGGCCAAAGAAATCCTGGGGCTTCGGCCATTTTTTCACAGAAAATTTTCAAAGTACTGGGCCAAAAGATTTTTGAAGTGACGTCATACCCGTATATTGCTACTAATTGTAGTGTAAAGTCAAGTATGAAAACATACAAAGTTATTTATATTTAATTGACCGAAATGTTAAATATTTCTTTTTGGGCTATAAATAATATTATTAAGCTTAGTTGTCTAATGATCAAACCCTTATCTAATCATAATTATATCTGAGAGCTGTTTGTGTTGATTTAGAATTAATTTTACAATGATTTTATATAAAATATGAAAGGCTTTTATTGAACTTGAGAGGCTAATAAAATATCTCTCCTACTATAGTGTAGTTTTTTTTTAAGTTTGGTTTAAAAAGTCATTTACAGATAAGTGTTAGATTTTTGGCAGGGATATATGAGTATGAATTGAATGTACATGGTGATTGTAACTCTCTACCTACATTTTAAGGTATTAGTTCTGAGTTTATAACAGAGAGTTCCGAAACACTATATGTGATGTGGAAAGCAAATAGGGAAGGGACCTCTTGTCGGGAATTTTCGATTTTGAGTTATATATATATTTCAATTCCTTATTAAATTCCGAATCACTTGGTGCATGTCCTATGCATCTACGACTCTTTTGTTAAAGTTATGGGACTTTGAAATTTTGTTATTAAAAAGGATAATTTTGAGAAAACCCTTTTGAAAATTTCAAATACACAAAAAAACACATTTTTTCATATTTAAGAAACGATTTTTGTATCAAAAGAAACTTATAATGTCCACTTTGAAAGAAAATCCGGTTTTTGTCTTAACTCCCGGTAGTTTCCATTTAAATAATTGTTTTTATTGAAGCATGTCGTAAAAATCACATTTCAGAAAAGGGACCTCTTGCCGGTCCTATGATATTTCTCCATAAGATAAGAAAAGGTACCTCTTGTCGGGACCGCAAAATTTGTGAGATATTTTGTTCTCCGTACACTGAACTTTGTTGTAGTTCTCTAAATTTCCTCTAGAATGCAGGAGAATTCATATTTTTGACTAAAGTCTGTTCATAAAGTGAATACAGTATTAGAAATAGGACCTCTTGTCGTTATGGCGAAATAACATTGAGCGACAAAAGGTAGCTTTTTTCAGACCATGCAGAGGCTAACAAAATGATTTATTTCGATATTTTATGTCTTCAATTCGATATTTTAACTGATACTGTCCTGTTCTATGATAAATGAGGTATAACAATCGGTAAAACCCCGAATTTCGATATTTTCGACCTTAATTACTTATATCGGCCGTACTGAAAATGTTGTATCGCCGACAAGAGGTCCCTTGTCCCCCCACAAACAGCTGAGAGACAAGGCCAAGGATGTCAAAGGCTTATCTACAATAACCAGTACGTCCACCAACCCCCCTGCCCTCCCTCCATCACCAGGATCAGCTGATCCGGCAGTCGTGGTTAGGAGTTCAGCTCGTGTACACGAGAGAAAAAAGTTTTTAATTCCCTGAGGAAGCGAGACGTTAATTTGGTCCCGCGAAACGTCGGAGTAAATCCAAGGACGATTTTGTATGTGCGTGTATGTGTGTGTTGTGTGTCTTCGTTGTGTTACATTCTGACGAGTCCTGGATTAAGAAATTAAGGTGAGTGAAGCCCACAAGCTGATCAATACTGTATAATAAACCTCGCCTAAAAACATGTCTTTAAAATATAAGAGGTCCCTTTTCGCTTTCCACATCACATATAACAATAACAATAATACATGTAAATGTTTTACTGATATTAGTGCAGGGTAAGTATTATTTTATTGTATACCAGTACTTATTTTGGTTTTATTGATAAAGTACCAAGCAATTAACAAGCTAAAAGACAGACGTGACATGATATACTTCCAAATACCTGGTGTTTAGTTTTGTTAGGCAATCAATCAGTATATTGGAGATGCCACTAATTGTTAGTAAAAATGTTTATACACTTTTTGAAGTAGGTAGTGATTAAATTTAGGAAGTAGATATGTAATATAGCAATGCATTCTAACATTTTTGTGTTTGGTTTGAAATGTGATTACATATTGCCATTGATATAAAAACAGCTTAAAACTGGTAAGATTGAATGCTATCATTGAACAATTGGCTTATTTTAATGTTAAGTCTTTTTGCCATAGTAGAATTTTTTTAATCCATGGAAAGGCAACTATTTATTGTGACTTTATTATTCACAATTTAACATGCAAATATTTTTCAAGGTATCATAACTCAACTCATAATAATGTATGCCAATAATGTATGGTTCCTTAATAAGCCTTTAGAAAATGTTTTCAAGATTATCGTCCTTGTTTATCTTATCGTCACATTTATAGGGAGTGTTGCAGGACCTCCAAATGTCATGACGTCCAATAATATAAGTCAGTGTTACGATGTCCAAAATATTATTTTTGAGCTGTCTCACGACGTCCAAATCTCATCATGTCCAAAAGTACAGTAATTGCAAGAAACACCGTCTTTCTACAAGCTTTGGAAGTCATGGGATTGATTGTCGTACAAAAGCCTCTTAAAAAATTAGCAGTAACACTTTGTCCAAAGCCGCTGCCAGTTGCATGACGTCCAATAGCTCAGCGGCCAGCGCTGTTGCACAACGACAACGTACTGAGCTCCTGAATATGGAGCTAGGTTAGATTAGGTTAAGTTGGGTTAAGTTAGTATACACTACAGATGGTAAAACATTACAGTACTCACAGTGTGCAGACACTCTGGACGTCGTGGTACACTGATCCATTGGACGTCGTGCAACTGGCAGCTGTTTTTGACGTGGTGCAACTGCTACTTTTTTAGAAGTTTAAAATGCATTTGTTTCATGACCAATCTCATGACATCCAGAGCTTGCAGAAAGACTATGTTTATTGCAGTTACTGTACCTTTGGACACATGCTGAGATTTGGACGTTGTGCAAGAGTCAGATATTTTATATTGGACATCTTGAAACGGCTCAAAAATTATATTTTGGACGTCGTGACACTGACTTATATCATTGGACATCGTGGCACTTGGACGTCGTGCAATTCATCCCATTTATAGGTGATGGAACTAGGCTGCAATCTTTGAGGATTAAAACATTGGCTCCATGGTAGATCAAAGATATGAGATTTTAAAATCTGACTCAACTGTTGGAGTTTGTTTGCTCGAGTGATAAAATAAATCAAATAATTTTCAAACTAAGTGTGAAACATATTCTAACGATATGAAAATGAAGTGGAATAACTCGAAGTCTTGGGGATGAAGAGACGCCCTACAAGTCTGTGTTATGTAACTTATATTGCACTAAAAAATTACAATATTGCCTCAAAATTAATCAGACTACATACTTTTGATATAGTAGGTTATATTTATTTTACTAGTATTATATTAAGTTTAAAAGTATCAGATTAAGCGTAGTTAAGTTGATGGCTCTATTACACATTTAATTCTAACTAATTTATTTTCAGGGTGCTTTGTTGAAAATGCATTCTATTTGGGGAGAAAAATAATATGGTTGCACTAACTTGCATTACCTTCGACTTTGAGGAAGGTATTTTTTAAGTTAAATGTTATTCATCATGCCACACTATATAAAGAGGTGAGCTAAAAGTAATGAATTCCAGTAGAGGTCAATTGTCTTCTATTTCAGGTAAATCCTAATCTATGCGGGCCAGTAACTTACAGTGAGCACGAGGCGTGCCAGCATCGGTACAACACCGTGGTCCGTGATGACAGCGAGATTCTCCCTGTCCTTGGCCACCTTGGCCAGCGCTGCGCACACACACGCCAGGACACGCACGTCCTCCGACTGTAGGAGGTTCACTATCAGCTCCAGGCCTCCCACGAAACTGCGCACTATCTCCCCAGAGTTCTGTCAAACATGACCTAAATAAAGTGATATTTCATAAAGGATTACGAGAGTTATAAAGTTTTAGAGCTTGTTACATGCACACCTATAATACAACGCCATTTGACAAAAGTGAGGTTGATATATTTAATGTAATAGAGTAGTGGTGAACTACCGGTATGACCCCACTTTAGGCACGTTTTTCCCATGTTATTCTTATGGGGATCATTTTTTAGCCACCAAATCCAAAAATCCTGATCTTCGCCTGTACACCCCAATATAAATGTTCAATACCATTGTATAGCTTCATTACTATTTCAAATCCACATGCATTCACAAGTATATTCTCAAAATCATCAACTTGACAGTGCGAGGTTTGTGCGTAAACCATTGATATATAACTACTGCGTAAACTTGGGCATGCTGCTGGCCTTGAGTGCGACCGGTCCTCTCGCCATTAGCAGTGTCAAGCGAGGAAGCGTCCATACCACTGCAATTAATTATACAGACAGACCAGTTTCAGGTGTTCTATTCAATGTCGAGAGGGGGGGTATTGAAAGAGAGAGAGAACGTGGCGTGGGAGTGAGAGAGAGAGAATGCGGCGCGGGAATGAGTGGCGCCAGATGTCTAGACAGGCGCGCGGCGTCGGACGTATTGACAGTGATTGATGTGATGAGAGGTGACAGGTGTCAAATTAAATTTGTACTTTCATATTTTAATTTTCTCCAGAAATTGTTAAAATAAATTTTACAAATACACTGCAATTGTTAAAAATTATTTTATGAATTCACTCGCTGGGAATTATATAAAAAGGCGGGGAAAACCGGTTCCTTCAGTTAGTCCCCTTCCGTCGCAGCGCAGCCATCTTGGTCTCTCTCCTCTGGTAAGTTTTTTTGCACATGTGGGGCTGGGCTAGTGGAAGGCGTCGGCACCGTGGACCTGTCTAGACATCTAGCGCCACGCCCCTGTCTCGGTAGCGAATAGAATGTCTGAGACTGGTCTGTCTGCATAATTAATTGCAGTGGTATGGACGCTTCCTCGCTTGCTCGTGCGGAAATGATACTTAGTTAAGTGACTGCCTGTCTGTGTATTTATTATTTGACACTTAGAGTATTTCTCAATACAATTGTGACAGTGAAACTTAAACATTAAAGTCCCAATTTTTGAACTTAGAAAAAATTTATAAAGTTTTTTCTTTAACACTTAGATTATTATTCTCCAATTACACTTTGTCGTTTTTCATGTGACTTTTACTATACAAAAATTTACTAAGTCCTGATTTTTAAAACTTAGCTAAAATTTCACTCACTGAGATAACATAGATAGTCCTTCCTATAGCACACACACTGTATAAATGTAGACTCAACATTCTGAATTGCTAAAAAGTATTTTTTATTTAACAAATTTAATTTTTGATCTAGTTTTGATTTTGAAAATTGCAATTATAAAATCTTATTGTATAAAATTGTTTTGAATATTAACATTTAAAATTCTGATTTAAATTATTATTTCTCACTAATTGAAATTGTTAAAATGTAATTTCAACTATATAGAAGATGCCAACCTAGTTTTTTGTTACATATATAAAATGAAGGCTACATGTCAACACTGCTCTGTGTCATTCTCCACCAAAAGTAACCTGATTCGCCACTACAATTTGATACATCAAATCAAGGTTAAACTGTGTAAAGTTTGTAATTTAATCTGTGATAGTAACATAGCTCTAAAATCTCATATATTAATAACTCACAAGACTTGTAGTTTCTGTAAAAGAAATGTTGTTGGTCATTTTAAAAGACATGTACATTCTTGCAACAAATGTCCATATACAATGATTAAATTTGTTGGTGAATCGATTAAAACTAAACTTAAAAATACTCTTCACTCTTGTCCTCTGCCGATAAAATGGACTTTAGTAAGGAGAATCAAATTTATAAAATATTCTGTGGATCAAAATGGAAAATTAGTTAATGAGAAAGAATGTATTGCAGATTTTAGAAGCATTACCACCTTAACTATTGAGAAGAGAGATTTAAAGCCTCAAATTGACAATGCTCTTTTAAAGATTGATGCATCTATACACAAATATCAAGCCCAAGGCAGTGGATGGATTTATGACCATACTAAATATTGGCAGTTACATGTTTACAAGTATAAGCCCTTAACTCCAAAATCATACATTCCCACACCAGAGAGTATTAAATTGACAAAATCAGTTTTAAATATAAAAAATTTGGATAATAAATGCTTTCTTTGGTCAATTTTAGCAGCTTTATATCCAAGGAATGCTAATGATCATGCTGAAAGGGTCTCTAACTATGTACCCTACATAGGTCAGTTAAATATGACAAATATAAAATATCCCGTAAAAATATCTGATATAGATAAATTCGAAAGACAGAATAATATAAGTGTTAATGTATTTGGAGTTGAAGACCAGAAATGTATATATCCATTAAGAACAACCAAACTAAATAGAAATACTCACATAGATTTATTATTATTACAAGAAGGTCGTAAATCACATTACTGTTTAATTCGTGATTTTAATATGTTAATATGTTAATATGTTTGTTATGTGTGATGTTAATATGTTAATATGTTAATATGTTAATATGTTGTTCCACTCTACAAAAGATGACCATAAGAAGCATTTTTGCAAGTTTTGTTTACAACATTTTTACACTAATGATATATTGGAACGTCATGCAACATATTGTAAAAACTTTGATGCCCAACGAGTGGAAATGTCTAAACAAGATACATTACAATTTAAAAATTATAAATATCAACTTAAAGCCCCATTTGTGATTTATGCTGATTTTGAGTGCTTTATAAACTCAAACAACCATACTCCATCTGGATTTGCATTTGTCGTAGTGAGAGATTCTAAGATTATTTCTGAAGAGTTATATAGTGGTGCAAATGTTATGGATGTGTTTTTCAAAAGGTTGTTTGAGACTTATGACTTCATTAAAAGTCAAATGTCAATATACATTCCTCTTGTAATAACTCCAGAGCAAGAGGTATCTTTCCAAATGTCAACACATTGTCATATTTGTGAAAAACCCCTATATTTTGATAGGGTGAGAGATCATTGTCATTCATCTGGCCGATACCGTGGAGCTGCCCACAATGATTGTAATTTAAACTATAAAGTAACAAAGAAAATCCCAGTATTCTTCCATAACTTGAAAAATTACGATGGTCATTTAATAATGCAACACTTAGGAAAATTTAATAATTGTAAATTAAATTGCATAGCCAAAGATATGGAAAAGTACATTTCATTCTCAGTTGATGATTTAGTATTTTTAGATTCCTATAACTTTCTGTCCCTTCCATTATACAAATTAGCTTCCAATTTAAATATATTTAGATTCATACAAAATCCACTACTACAACGCAAAGGTGTATATCCCTATGAATATATGACGGGACCAGATAAGTTTGCAGAGTATCTCCCTCCTATAGAAGCATTTTACAGTACTCTAACTAAAGAACATATCTCTCCCAATGAATATGAACATGCTAAAAATGTCTGGACCCATTTTAATATAAATAATTTACAAGAATATCATGATTTATATCTTAAAACAGACGTATTGCTACTGGCTGATGTCTTTGAGACATTTAGAGACCTGTGTTTAAAAGATTACAAACTTGACCCCGTACATATGTATTCACTCCCTGGACTAACATGGGAGGCCTGTCTTAGAATGACCGGTATAAAATTACAATTATTTCAAGATATTGACATGCATTTGTTCATAGAAAGTGCAATCAGAGGAGGAGTCAGTATGATTTCTACACGTTACGCTAAAGCCAATAATAGATATATGGGCTAACACTATGACCCCAATCAAGAGAGTGTGTATTTAATATATTTAGATTGTAACTCGCTATACTCCACAGCTATGTGTGAGCCACTACCTGTGGATGGATTTCGTTGGACTAATGAGATAGACTACAAAATATACAAAAATAATCAATATGATGAGTTTGGATACATTTTAGAAGTTGATTTAAAATATGATAAAAGCTTACATGATTTACATAATGACTATCCATTAGCACCAGAGAAAATGAATGGCAAATTAATACCTAATTTAAATGACAAAACTAAATATATTTTACATTACAAAGCATTACAAAAATATGAGGAATTGGGTTTGATTGTTACAAAATACCACAGAATTTTAAAATTTAGACAATCAAAATGGCTTGCGCCCTATATTAATTTTAATATTGAAAAACGAAAATGGGCTAAAAATGATTTTGAAAAAGACTTTTACAAATTATTAAATAATAGTCTCTTTGGTCGAACAATTATGAATCAACGAAAGTTTCGTGACATACATCTCAAGGATGAGTCACTATTAACAAAATATGTCACTAATCCAAGGTTTGACTGTAGCAAAAAGTTTGATAACAATTTACATGCTATACATTTAAATAAATTAGTTGTAAAGTTTAATAAACCAATATATTTGGGAATGACTATTTTGGATATTAGTAAAGTAATAATGTATGATTTCCACTATAATTATATGTCAAAATTTAAGAATAAAAGATTTCTAATGACAGATACAGATTCTTTAATGTATGCTATAGTTACAGAGGACTTTTACAAGGAAATAGAATGTGACTTACACTATTTTGATACCTCTGGATATAGTAAAGACCATTTCTTATACTCTGATAAAAATAAAAAAGTCACTGGAAAGTTTAAAGACGAATTAGATGGTCATATTATGTATGAATATTGTTTTTTAAGACCAAAGTTATACTCTTACATTCCTCTAAAATGGTTATATGAAGAGGACAAGCAAGCTTTAGAGGTCAAAAAAGCTAAAGGAGCTGATAGTGCTACAGTTAAACATCTCCTTAGACATCAACATTATTTAAACTGTCTTGCAACTGGGCAAGATTACTATGAGAATGTGACAAGAATTAAATCTACAAATCATCATCTTCAAACCTTGACCATGAACAAGAAAGTACTATCCTTTGACGATGACAAG